CGAGTACTGAACATCTCCCGGAACTGATCCCAAGTAACCGCAGCCCGCTGCGCATCAGAAAAAGATCCCGTAGTCAACCTCCACCAATCCTTCGCCCCGAGCCTCAATAGGTTCAGAGCACACCTCACCCTCTGATCCGCATAGCATGAACACGTGAAGAAACAACCATCCACATCTGACAACCATCTCATAGCAACGATCGGATCCTGAATTCCATCGAAAGTAGGGGCTTCGTATTATCGAAGTCCCGATACTGAAAACCTCGACCGGTTCCTTCCCCTGCCGCTGCTACAGCCGATGTAGCTGCCGCGGCAGCCGTCTCAGTAAGAGCTGCATAACGATCATCGACCACCTCCGGGATCTGACCCCGGACAATCTCGACCACCTCCTCGCGGATGATCTCCCTGACCCGGTCCTCTGTCAACATTGGCCCCTCCTGGCCGATAATCTCAGGTGCCACTGGGGCCTCCTGCTCACCCTGTCCTGATCCCGATCCGGATCCAGTCACGATATGTCTCGTAATCGCCATACTGCAATACACCAACAAGATCCTCAGATACCTCGCATAACCTCTGAGAACTAACCTCTAACCAACAACCTAGGGGTTGTGACTTCCTTGACACGCGTATGGGTCATGTGCTTTCAGTAGTACGGGACCATACTACCTTCCACACCTACCCATATTTGTCTCAAGTATCACCACAACGCCCTAAGCACAAACATTTATAACAAGCCCTCAATTCTCACTCCTAGAGGAATACTAAAAATCTCATATAAAGAAACCCTAGGCTAGTGGGCATCACATAATCAGGCAACTCTATCAAGCAATTCCTGAAGATCCCTAGCCTAGTATTAGCATGCTGTTCTAACATATCACATATTCAAATAACTTGTATGGTATTTTGGGGTCTACTTACTGGCTCTGGCTGATCGTACCCTCTGCATCCTCCTTTACTCATTTTGAAAACTTTTTTGAAAATCATTTGAAAATCTCTCCTTGATTTGAGACTGGATTCACACGAATGTTCCTCCAATTCACTCAAACCAAGGCTCTGATACCAACTTGTAACACCCATAAAAATTGAGCCAAATTAAAACATTTTAATTCATTTCAAAACCATTAAGTTCATACATCTCGTTTTCAAAATAGTTTAAACATCAGAGTATCCCCCAGAACCATATCACATAAATCATATAACACGAGGAGCGGTACGATCACGCCTTCGCCTTGCCACGATCTCCTGAAGTACCTGAAACATAACACTACAACTGTAAGCCCGAAAGCTTAGTGAGTTACCCCCAAAATACCAACCACACATAAACATACTCATAACATATCACAAATAGAACAGTCATGCACATCGGGTCTACTGTGTGACTGGTCCGCCCACACCGGGCCTTCAGTCCACCTGGTCCACCCTCCGAGTCCGGCCATGCGTATCGAGTCTACAGTGTGATTGGTCCGCCCGCACCGGGCCTTCAGTCGGCCTGGTCCACTCTCCGAGCCTCGGCACGTCTGGTCCTCCCTCTTGGGGCCTTCAGCCTATCCGAACCGCTCGCTGGGCCTTCGGAATATCCGGTCCGCCCTGGGTATGTTGGCCTACAGCACAAAGCAGGACCCGCCTCAACCCAACCCCCGTCAACAACCATGTGCACATAAAACAACTAATCACATAACAACCCTTAACCAGACAAACAATCTAACAGATCACATAGCATATCAACATCCTAACCAGGATTCCGACCTAACCGGTCACTAGCATATCATTACCCTATATACCGGGTACCGACCTTAATCAGGTCACTAACATAACACCATCCTAAATACCAGGATGCAGATCTAGCAAAGCAATAACATAACAAACAATACCCGGATTTCCATCCGATAAAGGGCCGGCCTTGGTGCCGTAGACCCTGTCGATATAGTGAGGATAACTCACCTGAAATTGCCGACTGAAGAGATACGACCAAGCTGCTCCGACCACCGACACGAACTTCACCACAGCACACTACCAAGGAACCAATACCAAAATTACCAAAATACCCTTGGAAGTCAAACTGGTCAACTCTTGGTCAAAGTCAAAGTCCTTAGTCAAAGTCAACCTTCCTGGTTGACTCTACTCGCCGAGTCGACCCGTCGACTCGTCGAGTTCCTATACTCAGAAACTCCCATAACACGACTCAACTCACAGAGTCGTCCCTCGACTCACCGATTCGAGGCTTAACCAGAAAAGGTTAGGGTTTCGCGACCAGACTCGTCGAGTCCAGAACAGACTCGCCGAGTCCAAGGCAATCTTCAATAGACTCGCCGAGTTGTTCTTCAACTCGCCGAGTCCATGCACATGTTCATACAACTCGTCGAGTACACCAATGAGACTCGCCGAGTCTCTCCAGTTCTCAACCCATACAGGGGCTTTTCGAGCCATGCAGGGGCTCCAATTCATAGATCCACTCTTCTACAGCCTAACCCTCACATAAAGTTGCAAACTTTACGTGAAACCAAGGAGATATAAGCCCAAAACACTCTAGGGCTAGGGTTTATGACAAAGAGGCTTCACCAACAACTCAAAGACTGATGCTTTATGACTTTCTGGACCAACAAAAGTCTAGATCTAAAGTAGCAACCTCAGATCTAAGCTTCTAACTCGAAATAGCTCACAAACAAGCTATGGAACTCCACATCAACCACCAAGGATTAACCAAAAAGAAAATCAGCATAAGATTATGGCTTTTTACCTCTGAAATGTGCCCAAACAGATGTAGATCCCAGATCCACACAAGCCCCTTGATGTTAGCCTTTAATTCCTCAAGCTATTTTCACCAATTTCCTCTTCCAAGCTCCAATCTCCTCAATAAAGAAGCCTCACACGAAAATTAGGGTTTCTGGAACTCTCAGGGGGATTAGGAGGCTGGGAGAAGGACATAAAGTCCTTTAAATAGGGTGCAACCCTCGGGATTAGGGTTTTCTTCCTACAGCACCAACTCGTCGAGTCCAAGTCTCCGACTCGGCGAGTTGGCCACTTAAACCCTGATAGAATCCCGCTCCGACTCGGCGAGTAGACGGACCTACTCGTCGAGTCCCTTTCCTAAATTTACACTTTGTACCCTTCAACTTCTTGCTTCCGAACTTGGGATGTTACAAGAGTAAGTCCAGGCTTGAACCAACATTTGGTATCAGAGCTAACCAGGGAGGTAGGTTCTGATGAAACCTGTGGTGAATGGTTGTCATCTGTAGATCCATTTTTATGAAGATGTGGATGTGTTTGGGGAGCAAACCGAAGGGGAAAAGAAAGCAACTGAAGAGCTGCAATTGGTGATGATGTTTGAACCAGAAAAAGCCAATAAAGATGATGAACCGGGTGGTGATTCCTGCGACAGTGAAGATCTGTGTGAAGAGAAAGGGATGTGTGCTGAAAAAATGTTGTGAGTTAAAGGAAGGCCGTGTGCTGGATTGAAGTTCTGGGTGAACCAAGAAGAAAGCAACCTGTGTGGTGAAGCTAATCTGTGTGGAAAAGCAAGTCAACATGAAAAAAATCGATCTGTGTGATCAGAAGATGATGAGAGCTCTGTGCTCCTACTTGTGTGTGGGTGGGTTAAAAAAAAAGATTTGAAGTGACCCAGATCTGTATGTGATCTGTGTTGGTTGATATTGAACAAAAAAAAGGAGCCAATATGAAACAGATGGTGTTCCATGTTTGTTTTTTAGTTTCAGTGAAGGAGGTTGTCAAGTCTTTCTGCAGGTCCAGCTGGTACAATAGGTTCGTGAAACAGGAGGTGTTTCACAGTGGATACTAGGCCACTGGTGCAGAATCCAGAGGTTATGGCTATGCTGGTGCAGAATGCAGTGGAGATGGTTGTGGTGGTGCTGAAGAAAGAAGAAGTTAATTTGATTGAAGATGATGATGAGTCGCCACTGTTCTCAAAACAAATCATCAAGATTACGGGGGTGATTGTTGGATAATCTTGATGGATCAAGTCGGGCTTTTGGTTATGGGTTAGTGGGCCACTGAATAACTGGAATAAGTTAGGTTTAGTTGGTCTTTGGATGACCTAGTCTAGAGGTGAATAACGTGGTTTAGTAGCCATTTTAATAGGAGCACATGCACCTACAAAGTTTTAGGGTTATTACGTTTTCTTTCAGCTTTATATAGTCGCATATGTAGTTTCTTTTATATGTGTGTAATCAGTCTTTTTGAAAGTTATATATACAAATTTGCTGTTTTGATCGGTGTTAAAAAGAGTGAGTCGAGGCCTGAACCAACATCCTGGACATGCTTTAGTTTTGGGATTTTAAATTCCTTCGTTATTTTTACTTTTTAGACCAACAATAATTATGATATGATTAAATTGAGATCTGAGTAATTGAGGGCACCGCCGCTACTTGCTTGAGCCGTTGAGGGCACTACATGTCTACAAAGCATCTGATGTGTTTTTAAAAAAAAAAATTCTACATAGGAAATTTTAGATCGTTGGGGGCACATCCCCCCATTCCCTTTGCTTTAGATCCGCCCCTGACTGTAATGGAAAAAAATCAAAATTCATTTAAACTGGACCTGAGCAAACCGATTTCATGCACCTCTAGGTTGAGGTCACAAAATAATCTGGATTTTTTTCATATCGGGTTATAAGATATCTACGATATATGGTCTGACCAGTCGAATATATTTGAAGTATGCAACTGAAGTCTAATCTTGAATCAGATATATATTTATATTTATAATATGAAACTGGATTTTTTATTTGAAAAGAAAAACAATAAAATCTATATACAAAAACCGAAAATTTTCAAAAAACCTGGATAGATTGATCCGCCTTATTATTCAGATTTGATAATTACCAACCAAAAATTTTGGATCGGGATTATCCGAATCCGAAATGGAAATTTTCCAATTTTATCGGATCCGGATAAAATAATCCGGGTTTTATCCACCTGGCTCTAGGCCCAAGACTACGATTTTAGCCCAACGTACTCCCATGAAACTTGAAACTTGAAAGAAGTCATGAAACTGGAAGTGTCGACTGACTATCTCATCGGAAGGCCCAAAAAGAGATTACCTGCATACAGATATCGCCGGTGGCAGGAAGAACGGAGGAGGAGCAGCTGCCTCGTGTTTTAACGCCGAGAAGGTTCTAAATTTATGAGCTCCGACCACAATTTTTCGTTTTTGATAACGCAAGCGCCTGCAGGTTTGTGATTTTCTCACAAGCTAATTGATTTTGAATTAATAGGTGACTTTTAAGAACTATTATAGTCTCAAACTGGAATCCTGTCTTATTTGCTTCCATTCAGTGATTTTCTTCACCTTGTTTGTTTCTTCGAGTTTCCCATTTGTTGTATTACTGTATTATTATTTTTTTCTATGACTTGATTGAAATCCGTAGGAGGAGATGGTGGTGCCATTAGCATTGACCTTAATCCCGACCTGTTTTCTGATAATCGTATGCTTTCTATTTCTCATTCAGATCATTAGGTTCCACTCTTATGGCCATAAAATTTGGAAATACTTTTTTACTGATGCATTGTGCAACTCCTTCAATTCTACAATCTTGTCTAAAGTAAATCCATGCCCCCGAGTTTACAAAACAAAACGTAGTTACTTGTATACTTGATCTTTGTAAATTCAAGAGTATGGAATCTATTCAAGGAAGAAAAACAGACTGCATTGTTTTCCTACAAAAAAGAAAACAATTCTATTAAAGAATTCTCAAAACTGAGTAACGTTCTTAATCATTTGCAGATTAATGGGGTTGCCAAAATTTACACGTCCTAAGGGACATGATGATGAATTATGTTGTAACCTTTATGTTGCCAACTGTGGTCCAGCTGTTGGACTTACTATAGATTCTATCACATCAGCATTCAGTAAATTTGGAACAGTAACAGGAGTATACCCTGCTGATGAGAGTGGCTCTCGTGTTATTGTCTCTTATTATGATGAAAATTCTGCCCAATCAGCACTTAAAGCATTGGACAGGTGTCCATGTCCTGACCTTGGTGGTCGTTCTCTTCACATCCGTTACTCTGTGCAAAGACCACAATTGCAGGTATCAACAATTAATGGTTCCATAATTCCAACAAATGTATTATGAATGGATCTTAAAGATTGCCAATTTTTTTGATAGGTTGTGGCTACTGATTCAGTTGAGGTGTGTTTAGAAGCATCAGAGTTGAATATTCCTGGCATCTACTTGATTCATGACTTTGTTTCAGCTCAAGAAGAGGAGGTGAAGGATCTTTACTTTGTGTGTATATATAAATATAGGGCTAAATGCGAAAAAAGAAGCCTACTTTCATTTATTTTTGACATTTTCAGCAATTGCTTGCTGCTGTTGATGCGAGGCCTTGGCATAGTCTTGCAAAGAGAAGGGTTCAACACTATGGTTATGAGTTTTGTTACGATGTGAGTTGTACAAATATTTATTGGATAATCTTTAATTTGCTTGAAAGTTGTCATGAAATAATGTTTATAATCTTTACTGGTGTAGATAAGGAATGTTAATACACAACATCGATTGGGCAACCTTCCATCATTTGTTGATTGTATACTTCAAAAAATCCCAGTCTTTAAGAAGCTTGATGAAGCTGCAGATGTATCATTAGACCAGTTAACGGTATTCTTTTATATAATAAGTAAATAACTGTTATGAAGCCCATGTATTGTGTTCCCATTTTTTGTAATGATTTATAAAGTTTTTAATTACAGGTAAATGAATACCCAACGGGTGTGGGTTTATCCCCACATATAGATACCCATTCAGCATTTGAGGGATCAATTTACAGCCTTTCTTTATCAGGGCCTTGCATTATGGAGTTTAGAGGGTCTGATGATGATAATGATAGAGATAAGGAAAGGTCAAATTCTAGAAGAAGGGCAATTTATCTGGCTCCTCGATCAATGTTGTTGCTTTCTGGAGAGGGAAGATATGCTTGGCAACATTATATTCCGCACCATAAGGTACATCTTGCAAGCTTTTCAGTTCTTGCTAATTTGCATATTCTTTTGATATGATTCCACTATGTAACTTTAAATTTTGTTCTGTGTTATATATAGACTTATAGTCATTAGTAGGTTGAGAATCTTAATTGTTGGATATTTTCCTTGACAATTTGTATGGTAGGTTGACAAGGTGAAGGATACCGTGATTAGAAGGGGTTCAAGAAGAGTATCCTTCACATTTCGCAAGGTATGTTAACTATAACCATCCATTTGACATGTGCAAAAAGACTTGAACGCCCTTCTTCTCATCCTCATGGTGGATTTGAAACGTGATCATAATATTGTTGTTGGATGTTAGTAGAAATGTTTGTTTGTGTAGGTGAGAAAAGGACCATGCCAATGCGATTACTCTCAGTTCTGTGATTCTCAAAGCTAAAACCAGAGATTAGGAAGCAAAGCCTTATGGATGTCAAATGTTACTCTATATCATTCATTCTACTACGCCCTTTGATGCTTAGCTGCTAACCATAACAACACTTCCAGATTACATTACATGAGGATTTGAGCCAATGTCACTCGGGTATAATACTTGTATGTTTTGATTTTAGTGGAAATGTCAAATGCTTACAACCTTTTCATGTTCATTATTTTGTTACCAAGTCACCAAGGGGTGGTTTCTACTGCTTCTTGTACAATGATTTTACTTCAGCCTTTCACTCCAGGATTGCTCCCACCAACTAACCAAGCAAAACCGATATAAAAAAATTTACATCTTAAAACAAATTGTTTTACATGTAAGTTATCCCACGACGTAATATTGTAATGACAACATGAGGTTGTACCGACAATCGACACAGATGTTAATGGCACAAACCCAATAACTTTTTTGTCCCTTTAAAAAAGGTGGGACAAATGACAAACTTTGTAACTTTCTTGTTTCATCCAAAAAGGTGGGATAGAGAATGTAACACATGTCGATAAGACAAAAATTAAAAATTGTGATTGTTGATTGAAGTCGCACATTCCATCCAAAAGGTTGGGACAAGGCAACCCATGTCAATGAGACAAATTTATTGGATCCGCCATATGTATTGAATTTATAATCTATTCAATTGGTTTCTCCATTTAATCCATCTCATCAATCCATTCGACCGATCTATTTATCTCATATATACATACATTCGGTCCATCCATATACTATATCTAATTGATTAATTCATCTTATTCGTCTAATAGATGAATCGTTTATCAGTTCAATTGATCCAACCATCTATTGTATCCATCAAATTGATCAATTTGATTCATCCATCATCAAATCATCGATAATTGATATATCTTATCAATCTATCTATTTAATTCATCTAATCAGCTCATTCATTTTATTTATTTAAGTCATCCATCGACCCAGATCAATCAATTTCTCCATCCATATTCATATGTGTCTGTCCACCCCGCACATCAATATCATTCATCAACCCAATCCATCTACTTTATCTTTCTAATTTGATGGATTGGCCGGATTTTGGGGATGGTTGGATTCAATGGATTCGATATAGATGGATGGGGTGGATGTATTATATGGATTTGATAGATAGATAGATTACATATGTTGACCATACTAATGGATTGATTTTATGGATCTAACTAGATGGATTGAGTGGATAGAGGGATCAAACTATTGAATGGATTACATGGAACATTCAGTTAGATGGATCCATACTTGCTTAGTCCAATGCATAAATTGGATGGATGAATTATGGCTTGAAGAATGGGCAACTGGATAGATTGATTGACCGATTAGGTGGGTGGATCAATTGGATCAAACAGACAAATTAGATGGGCCATATTGATGTATCAGATTGATGAATCTTATGGATTGATGGATGAACTGATGAGTGAGTTGATAGAATGGAGCAATGGATGCATAAATCGTATAGATGGCTAAATTGACGGATTAGATGGATCAATGGATGGCTAAATTGACGGATTAGATGGATCAATGGATGGATCGGATCGGATCAGATGGATGAATCGATTGATTAGATGGACCAAATAGAGATTGATTGGTGTAGCTGATATCATATGAATGGATTGACTGGATGCATCAGGAGGTAGATTAGATGAATGGATCATGTAGGCATATCAAAAGGGTCATATAGATTCAATAGACTTAAATCAAATGAATTTGATCGATTAGATACATGGTGAGCAAGGATCCACTCAACTTCCTGGGCAATAAACTCCACATAAGCCCCATGACAAAAACAAATTGTAGTAAATTTGGTATCCATGAGACCCACCAAAAAAGTGGGACATGGATTCGCTCTAAATCTCTCATGTGCACCTTCTCCTCAACAACATCACAAATAAAGCTACAACGTTTGTCCATGTCAAGTAACATATTAGTAAAGGACTCAGTTTCAGCAAAGAAGCCACAATATTATCAGCTTTTTTATTGAAAAACATATGGCACCAAACCAACACTAACAATAAAAAATGCACATTAGCATAAAGTTCCTGGACAGCTTGCCTGCCTCAAATTCAAATATCAAGTGTACAGAAACAAGTGACTCTGCAATCATAACAACCATCCTTTTACAACTAAATCATATCTTCCTTCTTCATTCGGCTTTTGCATCTCCAGAGCAGCAACCACCAGCATGATGGTGGTGATGATGGTGCTGATGCTGATGCTGATGCTGATGCTGATGTTGATGCTGATGCTGATTCTTCCCCTTCAACTGCTTCCTCATATCATATGCATCCTCCCCGTCTGCATAATACTTTGCCTCTATGTCATGGATCTGGTATCCAAGTGTCTCTGTGTACAAATGGAACGCTGCACGGTTACTCTTCCTCACGTGCAGTGACACATACTCCGCACCAAACACCTAGTATTCACAACACAATATACTACATAAATCACTCACATATAATGGAGAAACACATCAAAATACGATTATACAGACCTGTGTGTACTTGTAATCACAAGAAACCTTAACTCGATTCCAGAAAGCATAATCAAAGTATAATACTATACTTGTAAAACGCATAAATTTCACTACAGATATAAATATAATACATGATGTGTCGTTTCTTCTGTTATTTGATCTTCAGAGTTCAGATGGAAGGGATGTTCAATTGTATCAATGCCAAAACAAAAAATAACATGATTTAGAGTTCACAGGAATCTAGAAGACAGTTTTACTAACAGATGCGATCAAATAGGATGTTAGTTGAACACCTATGTATGTACAGAAGCCCTACGTATAAAACCTAAAGTGAAACAAGATAGATCAAGTATGATCGAATTTATTGTAATTGAACACAAAGAAAAAATTAAATCTGAATTTGAAAAAACGAACCTGTTCCATGGCGTTCTGTGAGGCGGTCATGAGCTTTGTCGCAAGCCCTAACTTACGGTGCGTACGGAGAACGGCGAGGGAAGTGATGTGGCCGTGACACTCCGTGGTCTCTTCTTCCATCTTGGCAAGCACGTATCCAACGATCTTTCCGCCGTAATCCTCGGCGACGTGGAGGAGCTGGGGCCAGGAGAGGATGTGATAGAAGTAGTATTTCATTTGGTAGTTCTCAGGGAGACAGAAGAGGTTGCAGGCCTGCATTGCAAACAGGTCATCCATCGTTGCTTTGCGTATGCACACCATTATTGCTCTGCGAATGGATGGAGAATAGGGTATGGTTTTCGGCGTTCGCGAGAAGACGATAGATAGATGATGAGTTAGGTTAGGTTAGCGTCGTAGACACTAGAGATAGATGGATTGGGAACGATAAAGGACGAAGAGGGCCGGATGAATATAATTTAATTTGGTTTTGGAAATTTATAAATAAAAGCTAAATCATATTTTGGGCTGGTTTACCAAGTATTTTTAAATTAATTTTTTTTATATAAAAATTTTAAAAAGAGATAATGACTTAAAAGGGTAATATATTTTTTAATTTTTACACATTTGGTCACTGAGTTTTTTTCGTTCACATTTATCCCTTCAACTTGTTAAACTGTCATTGTTGCCTCGTTTTTCTCCAGAAAGTCTTTAGAAACATGCCCTTCTTTGTTACATCTGTAGCACACCCTCTTGTTGCATACGCACTTGCTAGCGTAATGCCCTGTCTTTCCACATTTGTAGCAAGTCAGCTCCTCGCTACATTTCCCGAAGTGTTTCTTTTTACACTTCTCGCACCACTTAGCTTCACCTCCTCTTCCTCCTTCAGTCTTTGAGAATTTCCTTTCTTTGTTGGATTTTGAAGATCCTTCATACTTCATTTTCTCGCCAACTTCAGCTCTCTCCATACCCTTTTCCCTAATCTGGGTCTCAACATTCCTGGCTGCTCTAACGGTTGTTTTCAAGGTAGTTGCCATTTTGACTGTTGGGCCAAAATCTGTGGGCAGTCCGTTAGCAAATCTATCGTTCTTGGAGTGTTCAGTAGGCACCAAGTAGGGGAATAGCTTCATCCTCTCGATGAATGTGGTGGCATACCCATCCACACTCATCTTTCCTTTCTTCAGGTTCTGAAATTCGTTGTTTAGGTCTATCAGATCTATCTCTGAGCAGTACTGCATTTTCATCTGCTCCACGAATGCTTCCCAAGACATTCGCATGGCTTCTCCTCGTGGCATTGTATCTGCCAACAACTTCCACCAACTTAGCACTCCAGTATTTAGTTTTCTGACTGCAAAGACGGTCTTTTGCTTGTCGCTACAGTCACAGCTCTCAAACACCATCTCCAGTTCGGAGATCCAGTCCATAATCTCAACCGTCTTTGGGCTTCCGGAAAGGCTTGGTGGCTTGGCACCCAAGAAGTTCTTATACATTCGTCCATCCTTGTCGTTTCCCCTCTCCGGGTCATTCCTTCGTTCTCCTTGAGTCCCAACTTGACTCACAGGGCGGCTATAGTTCCCTTCCTCCGATTGCTCAGGAATCAGCTCAGGTTGCTCAATGGGCATGATAGGTTCGTCCCTATTTTCATGCAACATCCTCCTCATTTCTTCCATTTGTTCAGCTAACATAGCCTGAATCATGGCTTGTACTATAGCCATGGTGATTGGTTCAGGTGCAGCTTCTACTACAACATGTATTTGCTCAATCACTGGGGGCTGTTGATTCCTATTCCATTTGCGTTCCCGACTCCACTTTGGGTTCTTGCCATTTCGATCTATACACCAATTCAGACGTTCGGTGTGTAACGACGAGAATTAAGATAGGAAATATTTTATTTACGATCGACGTGTAAATTTCCCTATCACTCCGAAAAGTTACATGCCAGTTCTAATACCGTAACTATACGTTTAGAAATCTGAACACATAAAGTTTCCAGATCCGGTCGGAAACAGACCATAGATCCGATCAAACGATAGCATAAAGCATCACAAATCATTTAGCACATAAAAGCATGTTAGCCATTTTCCCTAAATAAAGCTAGTGTTTGCGTCTATTTAGGTGTACTACCTAAAATATATTATACACACTCCTCATAATCATCGCTTAGCATTCTAAGTTTAAGTCTAGAAATAAATCCTTATTCCTAGTTCGCTTAAACTAATGCTCTGATACCAACTGTGACATCCCCATTTTCACGGCCAGAAAAGACCAGTTTTGTTTATGTTTTATAAAA